CCAGAGCTTGGGAATCACAATCACCGTTCGAGCCCCAAGTGAGAAGCACCATGGTGCCGCCATGGCCAAGGACGTGAGCCCTAGAATCCCAGAGTCCCTAGAATCCCTAGAATCCCCCTTGAAGAAGATGCACGTCCCCTCCCCCACCCCCCAAGTTGGGGAAATGCAAACAAGGGCCCCACCTCCACACAAGCTTAGGCCTTCATCCCACTGGAGACTGCAAAATGAGACATTCAGCAGAGATGGGGGGAAAGCACTACTGCAGACAAAACTTGGCGCCCCCCCCCCACCCCCATTTTCCTTTGAAGGTCTCCGCATTCCCTGTGATGATGGCGATCTTGGTGAAGAAGATGGTGGTACGGATGACGTGACAGAGGTGGTGATGGTGATGGTGATGAGGTAGGTGATGGTGTTAATGGTGTTGATGGTGGTCGTGGTGGTTGAGCACTTACTATGTTCTAAGGAAGTCTGTTAACCCACTTTATCCTCAGCACAGCTCTGGGAGGTAGATGCAATTATTATCCCCCTTGTACAGAAGAGGAACCTGAGGCTCCAAAGGTCACTGCTTCCCAAGGCCACACTGGTATGTAGTGTCGGGATTTGAATCCACACTCTAATTAGCCAGATTATCCCACCTGAGGAATTACACAATAGAACCATTTTGCTTCTGGATTAAAAAACAAAACAACCCACCCAGAAAAAATATGTAAATAATTTAAAAAATTTTTTAACCTTTTAAGTTCTGGAGAATGAAGGTCTCACCTCCTTCTTTCAGGGACAGAACGGAAATTTAGACATCTACAGACAGCAGCCCCTTGCTCTCCCTCCATTCCCTGCCTCCTTCAGACTTTGCACCTGCCATGTCGTCTGGAGGGCGGGGGCGTGGGTCCGGCTACTTCCGCCAGTGCCTGGCACACAGCAGGACTCAGACATTGCTAACGAGGGACCTGGTCTCCCGGCAAGCCAAATGCCCCCAGAGTCAGGAACCCAAAGCAAGGCTCGCGGGCCCAGAGACGGCCTGTGGCCAAGCTGCTCACCGGGGGCAACCTATGATGCCCACCCTCGCCACCTGCCAGAGAGCCGCAGACAGCCGTCCCGCCCATCCCGCTTCCAGCCACAGTGACTCAGGCCTTCTTCCCTCCCCGAGGGCCTCCGGATCCACCCCACGGAACGGAGACGGGGTCGAGAAGGGAGCTGCCTCAAACCGTGACGGGACACGTGCCCGCGATGCCAGCAGGCTGACACAGGCAGAAAGACAAGCAGCTGCTGGCTGCCTGCTGGGGAGGCCAAGGCTCGTGTTCCATTAAGCAAGGACCAAGTGGCTCGCCCCGTCTGGGTATCATCACATCCCTCTGTCCTCCCTCCGACCCGTGCTTGTCCCCGCCTTAGGACCATGGCCTTTGCCGTTCCCCTGCAACTTGCTCTGTTCCAGCCCACGCCCTGTTGCCAGAGCCTTCTTGTCATTCAAACACGCCCAGCTCAACAAGGCCATGGCCATCCATGACCACTCGATCGCTTCATGAGGCCAGCTCATCTGTTTCCTTGCTTCCTGGTTTCCTGCCCTTCTTCTTCAGCCCCTGATATGGGTTGGAGTGTATCCCCTGAAAAGATATGCTCGAGTCCCACCCCTGGTACCTGTGAATGTGACCGTATTTAGAAAGAGGGTCTCTGCAGATTAACTTCATTAGTTAAGTAAGATGAGGTCAGGGAGGGCCCCTAGGTTTCCTTCTAGGAGGAGAGAGGTGCACAGGAGGAGGTCCCGTGAAGATGCAGGGCCACGTGGCAACAGGGCAGAGAGTGGGCAGACAGATGTAGCTAGAAGCCAGAGCACCAACAATGGACAGACACCCCCGGAAGCTGGAAGAGGCAGGAAGGACCCCCACCCACACCCTTCAAAGGTTTCCGAGGCAGCACTGCCCTGCCAACACCTTAACTTCCGACTTCCAGCCTCCAGAACCACGCGGGGGCACATTTCTATTGTTTTAAGCCACGCACCTCGTGGGACTTTGTTAGCGCAGCCCAGAAAACCAGTCCTCTCCTCGGCCACTGTTTCAGATGAGGCCCCTGGTCCCATAGTCCAGTCCCAAGGCCAGCGCCTGGCCTGTGGGTACTCAGGGGGGTGGGATAAACACATGGCTGGGCTCACAAGTGTCTCTCTAAGTGCAGTGGCCTCTGACCCCCGCAAAGGAGGTCCTGTGCCTGTCACACCAGGCTTGTCTGTCTCAGGGCCTGGTGGGTGGCGACGCCCCTCGCGAGAAATGGCGCCATCTCAGCCAAACCCCGGGGACACGGCAGTGGCCGGGAGGGCAAAGGCATTCTGGGAACTCCAGAAACTCGGAGAAAGAACCGAACAGGTGACACCAGCCAACACTTGCATTCTCTTCAGCCAAACCCACCCGGGGCGGCCACAGTCCTGAGGTGAAGCCTCTTGCCGGGGACTCCTGAGGCAGGTGTGGGGAGCCTGCCAGGAGGGGTGGGGAGGGAGCCGGGCTCGGCGTTTGCACAAGTGGGCCGACGGAGTGCTATTGACGAGCTGCCCCTGGGTACCTGCCTCGCCTCCTACTAATCAGCCTTCAGGAGAAAAGTCAAACATATGTTTTTGTTCAGGAGTCCTGGGGGATCTGTCAGAACCCAGAGCAAATGCGTGTCACACCCCCAAAATGAACTCGACGCTTCTTCCCGTAATCGGGTCTGGGGGATGGGGCACAGATGCTGGGGTTCAGTGGGTCATCATAGGATTTGGAGGTGATTGCCAAGACCGCGTGCCACCTCCCCCACGGCACACCCTCCTTCCCGGTACCCTCCCCTCCAGGAGGGTCTGCGGGCCTCTCTGTAGTATAGGGTGAGTAGGGCTGTGCATGCAAGTGGGGGCTCTAAAATGCAAATTTAGTCAGCTACTAAGACACCATTTGTCGCCCATGAGACCGACAAAGACCAAAACCGTCTGATCAGAGATGACGTTGTGAGCACATGAGAAACCGGCCTGCTCTTAGGTTGTTGGTATCAACTGACATAACCTCCAGGGACAGCTGTCCAGCAAAGTCGATCAGTTACTGACGCGTGCACCCTCTGACCCCAGGACTCTACTTCCGGGGCTGTACCTGATAGACACGCACCGGTGTGAAATAATGCTGTCGACAAAAATGACGTGCCTCCCGCCTGTAACCCAGAAACGTGGAGAACCCACCAGGGTGGAGAACCTCAAGGAGCGGGAAGCGGAAGCTGCCTGCGGGACGGGCACCGGGGCTCAGAGCCGGGAGGGAGCCTTCCTGTTCACTGTAGCTGCTTTTCTCTTGTGAATGTGACAACGTGAGCATGTCTTACCTTCGCAAAAATCTCTTTTCAAAAGAAAGACTTTTTGGGGCGCCTGGGTGGCTCAGTTGGTTAAGCGACTGCCTTCGGCTCAGGTCATGATCCTGGAGTCCCGGCATCGAGTCCCGCGTCGGGCTCCCTGCTCGGCGGGGAGTCTGCTTCTCCCTCTGACCCTCCCCCCTCTCATGTGCTCTCTCTCATTCTCTCCCTCTCAAATAAATAAATTAAAAAAAAAAAATCTAAAAAAAAAAAACAACACTTTTTGGACGCCCGGGCTCAAGTCCCAATTTGGCCACTTTCTCCCTGGGTGGTGGCATGCAGATGACGCACGCTTTGGCTTTCAGCTCATGACTCTCCCCATGTCCCAGAGGAGTGGCCGCCGCACAGGGCTGCCGTGAATACGAAACCAGGTAACAAGTGCAAAACAGTGGAAACCCTCAGAAAGAGAGGCTTGGTTTTCTTAGTCTTTAAGAAGACGACCCCTGACATGGTGGTGCTCGCGAAGGAGGTGGTGACGTCTCCTCTGTCCCCAGGGTGGTAATGGGTCCCCATTCCCGCTGCAAATGCTGAGACTGTCCATCAGGAGGCGCCCAGAGCACCTTCCCACCATTCATTACTGAGGAATGGCATCCAACCATGACAAGAGTCATCCTGAGCCAGCCCTCGAGTCAGCCCCTGGGCAGCACCACTGGGGTTGGTCACAGTCACCTCTGGAAGGCACCATGTGCTCGCTCGAAGCTCCGGCCCATCTCTGAGTCTCCTGACCTCTCAGGAGACCTCGAAACTGAAGGGTCTCAAGACAGTCAAGTCTTTTGACACAAGATCTGGGTTCCCAACCTCATGATCCTTAGAAGGCTGAGTTCTCTCTCTGCCTGTTTATTTCCGGGTTGGGGTTTTTATCCCGTTTTATGACAAATGGCCACCTTCACCGGTTGCCTGATGTCATGTGCTGGGTTTCACGGTGAGCAATGGGAGATAGGTAGACCCTCAAAAGATGCTCCTTCCTCTTCCCTATCCCCATCCCCTCCGTGCCCCTGACCCAGACCACCCATAAGTACCCACACGGGCTCACCTGGCCGTCCCCTCTTCCTAACTCAATTTGCTGACGGGGAGAGTTTAAAGAAATAGCAACCCACACCACAGACTTTCTTGACAGAAGAGGTGCAGTGTAGGGCCTGGCAGGTGGTTGGTGGCCCCAGATGGAAGCGGCCCAGCCCCGGCCCCGGCCCCGGCCCCGGCCCGAGCCACCGCCCCCTTCCTCCTCTGCAGCCTAAGGCAGCTCAGCCCCTGGCCCGGCGCCGGCCCCAGCACCCACCTGCCCAAGTGCTCCTGCAGCACCTGGTAAACGCTGATCCGGAACGTCTCGTTGTCGAAGCGCTCCCGAATGTAGTCCTTGTAGATCCGGAATTCGGCTGCGGTCACAGCTTCTCCTTCTGGGATCTTGGAAAGATCAAACCGGAACTCGCGATGGTGGTAGCGTGGGTAGAAGAACTCTTTGTCGTGCTCCACTGGAGAGGGAAGAAAGCACACGCCCGCACCAACCGCTCATTAGTTACTGGCTTTCGCTCTCCTGGCGCAGAGCCCAAGCATGCCCACGGCCAGAGACCCCTGGGCCCGACTGCCCCTTCCTCGCTGGCCCACAGCAGCCTGCAGATGCACAGCCTCGGACCCTGGGGTCACCTTGAACGAGAGCAGTGACTCTGCATCAACCCACTGGGAAGAGTGGGGCACTGACCGAGCCATCCAGAGGCCCTGGACAGACGCCAGGTCATGGACGCTCAGGCCCGGGTTCAAATCCAGGGTCAGCCACCAACTAGCGGGCCTGCACAAGGTACCATGTAATCTATCTGGACCCCCATTTCCTCATCTAAAAATGAGGATAATAATCCTGCACGGGCTGTTGGGAGAGCTAAGTAACTGAGCATCAACAGCTTGGCTGCTGGGAGGGCTCGACAACGGTGAGCTATTACGAATGCAGACAGACCGCACTCTGCCTGTCATGGGGTCCCTGAGGCCCAGCGGTGCTCAGCCCTGGCTGTAGGTGGGAATCATTATGGGGGCTTTGAAAAAACACTGACGCCCTGTCCCAGCGGTGAGCTGGTAAATACCTAGGAACTGGCTCTCTGGGACCTTATCTGTTGTGTTTACCAACTTCCATTTTGGCTGATTTCGAGCTACCGACGTGAAATCACTGAAGATAGAGGTGGGAGACTGGCACATGGGGGGGGGGGCTCTGGCACTGTGCCCACTGTGCTCGCCCCTCCCTGAGCCAACTCAGTATCTTTGGAGAGGGGGTCCAGAAACCCATACTTCTTAAAGCACCCCAGATGTTTCTAACAGCCATCAGGGTTTCCAAACACAGCCTTAGACTAAAAGCAGAAAAAGTGGTGAATGGCAAGGTTGGGGGATGAGGATTTTTAAAATGACTTCTGGACAAAATAAGGCAAAGGCCTCAAGTCTTCTCCTTTATACTGGCAGTGAGACTAGACTAAGAGATTATGCCCATTTCATTGAAAATAAATGTTGAAATGGACGTAAGCCCAAAAAGAGTGTTTCTGGGCGTGGGCCTGTGATTCCCACGGATCATGCATCCTCTGATCCAAAGTGGAACGGGGATGAAGCTGGGAGTCATCAAGTGCTGGAAAGATGCAGAATGGCTAAGTTCAGGCAAGTGTGAGGCATCTGCAGATACCTTTCCTCTCCTGGGAGAAACAGCCCCATCTCCACTTCCTGCCTGGGGGAGGGGGGTGACCAGAGACACAGGGGAAATAGAGGAGAAACATGCCCAGCTTCACCTCCAGCTTCAGCTTCCTAAGCTCTAGAAGCTCTCAGGCTGGATCAGGGCTGCCCAGCTGCAGGCAGGGCATGAACGCCTTTGAGGAAAAAGGTTCCCAACACTGGCAGCCCAAAGGCCCTTCCTACAGGCCTTCACTTAAAAAAAAAAAAACAGAAACAAAAACAAAACTGTTTTAAACCTTAATAATACTTCTAAAAGATACTAAGATGAGGGCAGGGGTGTTGATGAATTATCCACTCATCAGGCTATTCCCTGTTGGGCAGAGGGGGGCAGGTAAAGTCCTCAAGGCCAGGGGACTCTGGCTGGGCACAGGAGTGACCCTGCCTCTGGAGAGATCTCAGGAAGGCGTCCTCTGAACTTTAGCTGCTGGAATCTTGGGCCACACGTGGAGAGCTGGCCACAGGAATGACTTCTCCAGAAACCGCCCCGTGGTCCCTGTAGACTGCACCTGTCCTCCTCACTTGCTCTGTCCTTGACCCCCACCCAGAGCACTTGCCTTCTGACCCAGTCTCTGGGAAAGGCTGAGCTGGGGGACAAAGAATGCTGATGGGGGCGTCACCAGGCCCCCACTTTGATTTATGCAGAAGGCAGGTAGGGGAGGGGTCTTTGTGGCAGCCTCTAAGAAGTGAACCTCAGGAGGGGACCTCAGAGTGAGGGAGCAGAGCAAAAAGCCTTGCCCCGGTCACTGTGGAAACACCAGGGCCAGGCCTCTGTCATCCTTCTAGCTCACTCAACCTTCAGGTCACCCTAGGAGGTGAGCCCAATGCCACGTTGGTAGGGGACGCACCTAAGACCCAAGAGGTGCCGAGTGCCCTGCCCAGGGCCAAAGAGCTGGGCCTCAGACCCAGGCCCCACCAAATCTTAGCCACGCATCTCAGTGCCTGAGCCAACAGCTCTGCAAGGGCAGTTCTTATGCTTGTCATCAGAACTTTCTCGTCGTGCGGCAGCATGCATATGGTGTGCACACAAACTGCTTGCGTGAGGTTCTGCGCCTCGTCACAGCGAACCTCCCCATGGGGCCTCCTCCCAGATCAAGAAACAGAATGTCGCCAGCAACCCTTTCCTCTCCCCCAGCTTCTCAAGCCTCAGGTTGGTTTAGCTCGTTTCAGAATATCATAAACAGGAAATAATACGGCACATGTCCTTTTGTATGTGGCTTCTTTAATTCAACAGCGTTTGTGTGGTTCATCAACGTGCTTGTGGATGTTCATCCGTCCTTGGTGCTGTATAGTATTCCATGCTTGGATTTCACCATGATTCACATATCCATTCTGCAGTTCATGGGCATTCGGGTCATTTCCGGTTTGGGGCTCTCGGAGCAGTGCATTCTGGTACCCATGTTCCCCGTATCTTTGTGAATGTGGGGAGGCATGCGCAGAAGTAGAATTGTGTGTGTTCACCTTTAGTCCTATTGCCGAGCTGTTCTCCCCAAGTATTGCCCTGGGAGCTTCTTCAGAGTGTGCCAGGAGGGACAGCGGAGAAACACAAGTCTGTCCTATTAAGGAGATGGGCACAGTCCGGGGCCCCTCAAGGGCTTTTTTGCTTGGGACTGGCTGAGAGGGGTAAGGCAGCCACCCCTGAAGAGCGGCCGCCCACCCCAGCGAGCAGTCCGGGCATGCACCCATTCAGCCCCCACCTGGGCCCCCTCACTGAGTGAGCTCCCAGTGAACACACCCGAGCTGTCCTCCAGCCCCGCCACCCCCCCCGACCTGAGGTCACTGAAGACCATCTCATAACTAAATGGAAAGTTTGTTTAATGGCCATGATCATGCCAGACTTCCAGGTAATAGCATGCAGCACTTGGTTCTTCCTGCCTTCGAACACCCCGCCTTCCTGTGGCTCCTTTCACCGTGACCTGCTAGCTTTCCCCCCAACTCTCTGGCCACTCCTTGAAACATCCCCTTAGACAGTCCCACTGAAGTCCCCTGGAGCTGTGGAAAAACAGGGGAGCATTCCACAGGCCACCCCCCTTCCCCGCATGCTGATAGACTGCACAAATAAAGTCTCCGTTTCCAACCATCTGACTCTGTCCTCTCCCAGAGAATGGGGGTGCAGAACCCCCTGCTTACAAGGAAGAGGGCTGAAGAACCCAGAAGTACAAAAAGGCATGTTCATGGAGCACTTGCTCTGGGTTGGGTCCTGCTCTGAGCACTCTCAGTCATCATCTGATGGAACCCGTGAGGCGGGATTGATCCCCATTTCACAGATGAGGAACCTGAGGCTCAGGGAGGCAGGTGACTTGCCCAAGGTCACAAGGTTAGTGAGTGGCTGGGCTCCAAAGCTCACACTCCTTGACCTTTACCCTTTCTGGAGCCAGGTGCGCTCAGTCTGAATCTGTGTCCCTATCAGCTGTGCGGTCTTGACCGAGTTACTTAACCTCTGCATGCCTCCCCTCGTCCCAGGATCATAATAATGGCCCTTTCTGTGTACAGAGTCGGCACTTACAGCAATGTAAGTTCACGTCTGCCATGGTCACGGGGCCTCTCAAACAATGAGGCGGGAGAATTCCAATCAGCACAGAAGCCTTATGCGCGGGTAGGTATTTGCATAGTTTGGCTATGACAACCGTATTTGAAAAATATCATAGTCAGACCAAACACTAGAGAAATGTTTGAAGGAGCAGGACATTAACACAGGTGTAACCACTGAAGTCACACCCAGTGAAGAAAGAAAACCCTGATACATAATCACAAAAATAAATCTGTTGCAGCAGGTGTATATACAACGTCTTAAATGAGTAAGATAAAATGTATCTTAACTGTTAAGTTAAGATACCAGGGTTATAAGGTTTCTTTTGTTAAAAAGATATATGCAGAGTGTCCAGCTAAATTTCTAGCAAACATCTGCAGGCTCTCTGGGACAGCTTTCTGTGTGCATCGCCTTCATTCATTATTTTAAGACAATGAGCAGTATGAACCACGTCAGCCTTCTTCTCTTCCTGAAACCACATCACCGTGGGTTCTAAAAATACTTCTGTAATTTATCAAAGTCAGATAATCATATTTTTTAAAAAAAAGCAGTTCATAATTCAAAGTCCAAACCAAATTCCAAATCTCATCTCTCCGAGGCGTCCATTTTATACGGAAGCCACCCCACGGCATGGAATCCACACCGTTTCAAGCTCAGGGGTCCAGGCGGTTCAACTGTCACCACTAAAGTAGATAGAAGCATGAACTTTTAGGGAGAAAATACAGCTTTATACTTCTTTCCTATATTACCATATCTGATTACCCAAGACTTGGGTTTTTAAATAACTGTCTAGAGTTGGTATCTCCCTTTGTCCATAAAGAGAAGCTTTCTAAAGGCAACCCAGACCCTAGGAATCCAGCTTTTTCTGCACCGCCCTTAACATTCCAGCACCCCACCGGCTAAGAGAGCTCATAGGCATTAACGAAGACTTTCATCTTCAAAAGATTAAAAGGGCCCAAATCCCCGAGACCAAAAGATAAGTCCAAAGAAAATGGATTCCGGAAAACACCATCCTGACAGCAACCAGCCCCGTGACTGTCCCCAAAGCCGACTCTAGTGTCCTTTTACAAAAGCCTGGAATAATGACCCCAAAGCTGGTCCTGGGAGGGGTCATTCTGGGTTCCAGGGTGTCCATAAAGGGTAGAGGCAGGTGGGAATCGGAAGCCACCCACCTGGGCGTCCCCGCTCATGGCCCTCGGACACGCCAGGGGTGACCTCTGCCCCACGTACAAGCCTGCTCCCCTGCATCCCCCAGAGGGTTTCTGCCTCCTCTCAGCATCTGGGCTCCTCCTCCCACTGACATTACACAAAAAGTACAGACATACCTCTCACTAAGTTAGTGTCCTCTGAACAAAGGGGTTATGATAACCGAATGGAACTTGCCGTATAGACTTGCCAAGGGCAGCACATATTTAAACAGTACCTAAGCGTAGGTATTGAGAACCATGCTTTGTAGAACTGTATTTAACCCTGTAAAACGAGGGGTATGGACCCCCCAATATATTTATACTTACATCCATACATAATAATACACCCCAGAATACAATAAATTCTTACAAATGCGAGAAAACAGAGAAGGTATCATATATCTTTTGCTCCCGCTGGGTGGGCAAAGTGGCTGCAGGACCGACCACTCACAGTGATGTCACAAAAAGGTGCTGCGACTGTACCATCTCTTTCTCTTGGAAAGCCTCATTGGGGCTCTCTCAGTCAAGCCATGTGAGCCCCGGGGAGCTGCCATCTTGTCCCATGACCCCTTTCGGCAGAGTTGAGGGATGGGAGGGAACAAGCCCCAAGCTGGGCCAAACAGGGATGTCTTTTTTTCCCCTGGAACCTGGAGGGAAAGAGCCCCTGTTTGTCTTCTCTGCCTTGAATTCGACAGGTGTAAGTCGGCACTGTGGGCAGCCATGAGCCACTGCTGTGCAGAGGAAGCTGGTCTGTGATAAGGTAGATGCCAGGCAGGGGGCGCAGACATCAGCCTTGAGGAGGGAAGCCTTTCAGGTTTGATCCTTTGGTCTGGTGATCCCCATCCTTCGTGGAGTCTGGGGTTTCAATTCTTCCAGCCGTGAGTTATGTGGAGAATCCCCAAACAAGTCCCCCTTAAACTAAATGGAGTCAGCTTTTGCAACTTGATAGTTTGCAACCTACTATTTGCAACCAAAGCAGTTCTGAACAAAATAATCATGAGCCCAGTAATACTCCACGTCTGGGAATGGATGGGCGGGGAAACACGCCCAGATAATCATGGTTATCTCCAAGTGACCACTTGCCATGAAAGCTTCATTCTTTAGACTTGGATAATTTCCAAATACAAGATGACCCCTTGATCTAGCTCTGTAGGAGCAGGGGCCCTGACTGACCCCATCGTGAACCCCCAGTGCCCAGCACAGCCTGACACATAGTAGGGCTCCATAAGTCTATCGGATTGAATATATTACGCCTCGTGTAATTTCCTTCTGGTCTTTAAATAACATGCATACAGTAAAGCATACAGATGCTAAGTGTTGACAAAGCTCGATTAACTTTCTCAACACAAATACACCCAGAGCGGGAAATAGTACATTCATTCCTCGGACCGAAGATGTCTCCACAGGGCCCCTCCTGAACACCAGCCCCTCCTCCCCAAAGGTGACCACCATCCCAACACCTGGCACCACAGACTCAGTCCGCCTGCTGGATGCTTACCCTTCTGTGTCTGCATCCCTGTGGTTGCGTGTGGTGGTGGATCATTCATTTCCACTACTGTATGGAACCCTGTTGCAGGAATTGGCCACAGTCTATTATTTGATGGGCCTTTGGATGGTTACCAGTTCCAGATAGTTACAAACTGTGCTATGAGGAACATCCTTGTACATGCCTTCTGGTGAACACATTTCTACTGGGTAAACACTTTGAAGCAGGACTGCTGGTCAGAGGGCAGGAGCGTGCTCATCTTTAGTATATGCATCTGACTGTTTCCACATCAAGAATTTGGGGGTAACAGGGAATGGGGCCAAAGGAGACACAGTCCCTAAAGGAACAGTTCATTTTAATTTATTTCAGTAGACCCCAATGCATTTGTTTAGGTATAAGGAAGTTCTTCACGGGAAAGATGTTGAATGCAGTCTTGAGGAAGGATGGAGGTCCACCAGCCCCAGAGAAGAGGGAGAGGAAACAGACTGGTTCCAAAGACCTCCAGTTATGAACCTCTTTCATGAGGATGAGGCTCTGGGAACCAAGAGAACCAGCCAAAGTCCACAATATAACCAGAAGCTAGAACTGAGCTTTCAAGGACCCTTGACTGCTTAAGACCCCGTGTCCCAGAACCTACCCCCATCCGGATTTAACTCCAAAACTTCCAACGCAGCCTTCCTTTCTTTCCTACGGGGATGCGATTCATCCAGAAGGTTCTGGCACATGCCAGAATTCACTGGAGCTGACTGTGACCAAGGCAGCTGTCGGAAGGCAATTTATGGTGGCCCCGCAGCTTCGGGGATGTGAACCTTGATGATGGCTCTTCATTCGTTCAAAGATTTACATGGCGAGATGAAGGAGCTTGAAAAAGCCACCAGAGGCACGCCATAAATTGGGAGCTCTGGAAAATGGACCAGACGTACCCAACTACTCTAACAGGAAGATGTTCTCTTGGGAACATGAGCGTTGACATACCCTGCAGCACAGCTGTCACAGAAGAGAGGACACTGTCCTAAACCCATAGGAAAGGAATATCACATAAAAGTCTAAAATGATACATGCTCCCAAGAAAATATCTCTGCGTGTCCTCACACCCCAGTGTGCTCATTTAGCAAGCGCTTCTGGACCACCCCAGCAAGGAGCGAGAGCCCTCCGTCAACATGCGGTGGGACAAAGACAGATAAAAGCCCAGTCAGATTGCAGCTCTGGGGGCGCCTGGGTGGCTCAGTCGGCTAAGCATCTGCCTTCGGCTCAGGTCATGAGATCCCAGAGTCCTGGGATCGAGCCCCGCATCGGGCTCCCTGCTCAGTAGGGGGCCTGCTTCTCCCTCTGCCTGCCGTTCCCCCTGCTTGTGCACGCTCTCTCTCTCTGGCAAATAAATAAATAAAATCTTAAAAAAAAAAAAAAGATTGCAGCTCTGTCACCTGCCTGACCCCTGAGCTGACTAATGGCTACTGTTGTTTCAATTCGATTCTTAATTGTAGTACAATATACATAAGATTTACCATCTTAACCATTTTTGTAGTTCAGTCATGTTAAATACATTCACAGGGTGGTGCAACCAATATCCAGAACTCTTTTTAATCTTGCAAGACTGAAAGACGCATTAAGCAAGCCCCCCATTCTCCACCCCCAGCCCCTGGCACCCCCAATTCTATTTTCTGTCTCTGTGAATTCAACTCCTCTAGGGACCTCCTACCAGAGGAATCTTACAGTACTGGTCTTTTTGTGTCTGGCTTATTTCACTGAGCATCCTGTCCTCCAGGTTCATCCACACGGGAGTTTGTGTCAGGATTCCCTTCCTTTTCAAGGCTGAATGGTATTCCATTGTGTGTACAGACCATGTTTTGTTTATCTGTTAATCTGTCGATGGACACTCAGGTTGTTTCTACCTTTTGGTTACTGTAAATAATGCTCCTATGAACATGGGGAGGCCAATATCTCCTTGAAGCCCTGCTTTCAACTTTTCTGGGTCTGTATCTAGAAGTGGAATTGCTGAACCATATGGTAATTCTATTTTTAATTTGTTGAGGAAATGTCATTCTGTTTTCCACAGAGGCTGCACCATTTTACAGCCCTCCCAACAGTACACAAGGGCTCCAATTTCTCCACATCCTCACCAGCAACAGTTGACTTGTTATTTTCTGATGTTTGGTTTTGTTTTGAGAGTAGCCACCCGAACGGGGGTGAGGGGGACAGTCACGATTATAAAGGCCTTCCCACTGTCCTGGACGTCTCATCACGTGTCACACACAACATCTCACCGAATCCTTATAAAAATCCTACTCACAGGTAGGCACGTGAATCGTGTCCATTTTACAGATGGAG